GAGAAGGTTGGAAGGATGATGTAGGTCGAAATACGAGCCTCGGGTCATTCGGCACAAATAGAGTTTCCCAGCCTTACTGTGCCTGTCACGATAGTAACTGGAGCAGGAGATGCTTCACCCTTTAAGGTTACATATTTTGGAACAGAAGCCATGATCGTACGAACAGACTTCTCATCTACACTGACCTTTTCTTATTATGGTAGTCGACTTAGAGAGATTCCGGGCTTATTCGGGCTCGATCAGGAACTTTAACAAATCTTCATTCATCAAAATGCTCTTGAGTTGTATAGTCATGTATTATGCTATGACAGCGACTTCTACATCTGGGGAGTCGTCAAATGTTTGGTTCTGTTGCGATGCAATCAAACCGCGTGCTTCGCATGGAAAGACCCAGGCACTATTGTAATGTTGATCAGAGAACACAAGGTCTTTACCACCAATGATCAATATTCTTGGTTGCAGAAGTACGAGGCATGATCAGAGCACAGGTCACGGTCGGTCTGCCCGTGAAGCCAGCACGAGCCCGTTAAAAGGCACGACCTCTTACGTTCTGCGTAAGGAGACTTTGGGAATTAAATGGCTAAGCCTTTCACACTGCGCCTGCAGGCGCGTATGAACTGGTTTAGAAATACTCATGCCCAATGTGCAAAGCAGAGCATTGCGAGGTCTTCAGCATCCGAGGTGACAACAAGGGTTCACCTACGGCACATGACTTGAGGAACACTCCTCTATGGCAACCACATCCAGCGCGACACCACGTTCTGCTGCAGCCAGCGGTCATTCCGGGCGAGGCCTTCCGCTGTTTGACGGACGAGAGCTGCTCGAATCAGACTTCGAGTGATACCCACCACTGCGAAGATCAGCCCCGTTCATGCAATCTGGACTCGACATAAGGATAGAGTTGGCTCTAACAGCCCAGGGTCCACCTAGACCCCTTAACCGCCAAAAATACGTCTAGGACTGTCCAGGAGCACCAGGGATTCTACATTAGCAGATGAGCAAGTTGCCATGGTCTGGACCTTTTGTTTCGCTCGGCCAAACATGCGGAAGACATCACCAAGATAGTGGCCATTCGCAGCTGGCTAGTCACCATATCCAGACCAGCTGGGCTCTGGACCGAGCGAGTTGGCAAGACTCTTGGCAACACCAGCTGCCCTGCTGTGGAAAACCACGGCACCGTACAGGCGGCTCGCGATCTCATACCCTGAAGCAATAGGGGCGCAATCGGGACCAAGAATGCCTGAGATTGTGCACTGAAGGGCGAAGACACAGCACAGACACAAGAAAATTCACCGCTCAGGTTGCGGCAGCTTGAACCGAACACAAGCCAGCCACAATCGCAAAGGAAAATAGAACAATAGCGCGGCTGGCTGGCGCTGCATCGCCGCTGTTATGAAGCTTTCTTCTCGGGCTGCTTATCTCGATTCAGCTAGTGACCTGATCAGCCACATAGCACTAGTTCGGAGGTCGCCAGCTGAAGCGAGCGGCTGAAGGCCCAACGCAGCCTTGAAATAGGGAGATACGACACGGCCTTCTCCACATCAAATTTTCATGGTCGCTGAAGGGAGGGTGGATGTGGAGCCGCGCTCGCGTCTGTATCGGCATCCCCGCCAGGAGTAAGAATTGCCGACGCCGCCAAGGGGAAATCACGCCCAGACTTCGAGTCGCGGGTTTCGTTTGGGATACTATTTTCGCGACCTCAGCAAGTGCTCTGTGCTCTTTCCAAGCGATTGACTTTTTTTTGTCCCTCGTTGACCGGCTGTGACGCCCAAGAACCCTGAATATATAAAGTCAAGGGTCGATCGACAGGATGATCCTCTCCGGACGTGCCATCCGGAATACCCACATAGTGTCTCCGTGTCAAAGCCAAAGAGACACTAAAACCATACATACCCCAAGATCACGATGAATTTCGTGCAGATCCCCTTCTTCGACACCTACTACAAGCACCTCTCAACCTACCGCCGTTCCCTCCGCGCACGCAGCACGAACCTAGCCAGCACCATGCTGGGCCACGGGGCTCCTGCAGTGGACATCAACTCCGTTGACAACCAGAACCCAGACCTCGCGACGAGCATCTACCCGCACGTCTCCGAGCTGGACGCACCGTACTCCATCCCCGAGACCTCCCTGCGCTCCGCCATCCACATCCCCGCCGACTTCCAGTACGGCCGCGACGGGCGGACGCCCGTCCTCCTCGTCCCCGGCACCGGCACCCACGGCGGCGAAGCCTACGCGCCCAACCTCACGAAACTGCTGCGCCAAAGCCCCTTCGGCGACCCGGTGTGGCTGAACATCCCCGGGCGGATGTGCGACGCCTCCGCCCGCAACGCCGAGTACGTCGCCTACGCGATCCACTACCTCTCCGCGCGGTGCGTCCACCCGCACATCGCGGTCATCGCCTGGTCCCAGGGCTGCATCACGACGCAGTGGGCGCTGAAATACTGGCCCAGCGCGCGCGGCCCCGTGCAGAGCTTCGTCGCCCTCGCGGCGGACTTCGCCGGCACCGTGGCCGCGTGGGCGCTCTGTCCATTCCCCGGCACCCAGCCGGGCACCCCGGCCGTGTGGAACCAGACCCGCAATGCCACGTTTATCAGGACCCTCCGCTCCGGCGGCGGGGATTCCGCGTATGTGCCGACGACCTCCATCTACTCCGCGACGGATGAGGTCGTGCAGCCGCAGTCCGGGCCGGGGGCGTCCGCCTTCCTGGCGGATGCGCGCGGCGTCGGCGTCACGAATTGCGAGCTGCAGCTGCATGTCCCGCGCTCCTTCGCGGCGGCCGGCGGCCTGTTTTGTTCGCATGAGGCCGTGCTGTATCATCCGCTGGCGTGGGCGTTGATCGCCGATGCGATTCAGCATGGTGGACCCGGGAGCCTGGAGAGGATTGATCTGGCGACGGTGTGTAGGCGCGGCCGGGCCGAGGGGATTGGGTTGGTCGATGCGGCGCGCACGCAGGCCCTGGCGGCGGGCGCGTTGAAGCAGATCCTCTTCTTCTCGCCTAAGTCTTGGCGCGAGCCGGAGTTACCGGGTTATGCTGTCGAGGGGGGGAGGGTTGAGGTTGAGGAGGTGGTGGTTGCGGATATGGTGAAGGGGCCTGCGGTGGTTGTTGCTTCGGAGATGTCGGGGTTGGTTTCGGTATAGCAGGTTTGGAATGGAGCTTTTTCTGTGGGTTTGGCGTTGGGGATAAGGGCGGTTGGGGGTATGTTCTATATGGTTAGATTCCTGGTATGGCGTTGTTAGAGCTCTTCGATTGAATTGTACATATGATCATGATATTCTGTTTTCCTTCACATAAGCAAGTTTGCATAAGGATGGTGGTCTTGGTCTTCATTCTGTAGATGACGTTGCCCTAAGTATGGCTATAGAGTCGACCAGCGCAATATGCGTCCAATTAGTATTTGGAGACACATTGTATGGTGTCTGATACATCTCCTGCGCTTTTGAAGCTAATGGTATAACCTAAAAAGGGATGCGATCGGTCAAGATCCAAGTAGAGCACGAACTCAGGCGCATTCTGCAGGCTAATGTTAAGGATCGTCCGCTGGGCGGATCTCCTTGGACCCATTACATCATTTACCCCTGTCAATTGACCTGCACCGGAGAACAGGTGTTGCTCACCTCCTCATACAATGTACAAACCTATTTCCAACTCATTCATAGGTCGACTCGCTACACTCGAGTATGATAATACGAGAATCGAGTCTGGAGCATGGTGACACAACACCTCGTAATGTTCAACTCTCACCAAGGACGACCCGTGACCACCTACCAAATAACCATAGCAATAGCATAACTCCAGGGTGGAACCCCGATCGAACAGAAAGATCAGACAAAGGCACCTGGATTTCGATCCAGAGAAAAGCGGAACGAACACCCGGCAAAACGCGTCAAAAGTGGGGATTATCTCCGGTCGCTCAAGCATCGCTCAAGCCGAAGCCTTGCTCCTTTTCAAAGTAAATGAGCCTCTCGTATACCCATAAAAATTGAGACAACTGGTTCTGTGGTGTCGCGTACGATTCCCCAGGAACGAAGGCTCCACCCGACCGTATCAGTCGCGCGGTGACGGTCTTTCTGGGAGGGTGGCGAGTCTGGGATGAGGCATCTGGTGCCGACGGGGGTCTGGGAAAAGGGGCAGGGGTGTAATATATAGCCAACCACGGGTAGGTTGAATTTTTACATGTCACTTGAAACCTTCTTGACCCGACACTTTCCCGAAGGCAAGAATAAATAAATCAAGGGTTTGACGGATGCTGGGCTCGCTGTAGCCTTCTCCATGTTGCATGCAGAGACGATGTGGGGCCTGGGCCCTGATCGCAATTAACAATGCATTCCCACTGCAAATGTTGTCATTGCAGATGCGGGGATTTCTTTGACCATCGATCATCGACATAAATATGACTGGATAATGCCAGCGCAGCGTGAGTCGCTCTGGGAGATCAAGAGTCACAGCAAAATAGAGGGACAACCCGAGGGAAATGACATAGGGAAGTCGTAGGCCAGATGTGATACTCGTCGTTATCGACAGTGACTGTTACCACAAGAGGTAGATGTAGTGACGGGCCAGAGTCCCGCTGATATCATGGGTGTACTAAGCCTTTTCACTATTGACCCACAGCGTGCAACTGCCGGGTTGGATCACTTAATTGGGTGGCCACGATTTATCTGTGTGAGATGCGAGGAGAAATGGCAGCCGTGACGTGGTGGATGGTGGATGCAACTGTGTTTTGTGTCTGTTGATTATTCATTCCTTTGCTCCTGACGTCACGTTGCCGATCCCGACCAGACCCTGTTCGTGGCCCATGGCTCCGCTTTCCTTCTTTCATCAATTCTTACTTTCTTACTTCAATACTCCTCTGCATTCATTTTATCGATATCTATCTATCTTCGAATTAATCCTTCCCTTCACCTCTGATTCCACCTCACTCTCCCATACCACCACTCCTTACGCCCCGTCCCCCCTCCCAACACCACACACCACACACCACACACCATACGCAGCAATGACAGTCATCTGGGGCCTGGATCTCAAGGAGATCCAATGGAACAAATTCAAGAGTTCCAACATGTTCACCCGCATCTACCACCTCCGTCGCACCAAGATGATAGTCTACCAGCTGGCCATGATTCTGTGTGTGTGCTCCGAGTCTACCGGCACGGCCGCCTTATCAGGTAAGTTCAATCTTGTTCAGTATATCGTGCAAAAACCAATACTCATGGCCTTTCCTGCGATTAGACTACGTCGATCAACAAAGCTACATAGAGCGCCACCACCCAGGAGTATCAGTCTACAATAACGACTTTATCGGGGCCGCCTCCTACAACATCTTCGTCGGCGTCGCTGTTGCCACTATCTTCGGCGCCGCCTTCTTCTTCGACCTGTTCTGGCCGGAGCGCCACGAGAGCAAGGCCGTCCGTTTGGCGTGGAAGATCAGCGGTGTGGTGGTGTCCATCATGATGCTTAGCTCGGCGTTGACGATGACGGTATGCGGATTCTTCAGAGATGAAAACCCTATCATAGAGAGATGCTAAACACTGCCTCTCCAGATAATCACCGCAACGAGAAGCGTCCAGGTCCATGGCACGGATGCCGCCGGCGCGAGACAGTTTTGGTCTGAGTCGAAGAAGAAGCCTGCTTTCGGTGCGTGCAGCATTCCTCTCCGCTCATTCGACATCCATACACTAATGCTGAAGCAGTGTACCGCACGAACCCCAAAGCCCTCGCCTCCGTGGTCCTCGCATGGCCCGGCTGGGTATTTACCGTCGTCAGGTATGTTCCCCCGAATGACTCTCCTTGACGAACCATCCGCTAACCCCAGTTTTCCCGTGCAGTGCAATCATCCTAATCGCCTCGCACAACCACGACGACGTCCACGGCCCCAAGTCCAACTACGGACGCCAGATGGAAGGAGAAGAGAAAATCCCCGAGCCCGAGCCCACCAGTGGCCTACACAACCGGACTCTTCGGGAGTGAACCAACCTTCAACTGGTTCGAATAACGACACAAAAGAGATTCCCCACGATATTTTGTTACGACACTTTCAGGTAGCACTTGGTTTTGGTTTCGCAAGGCCAATTAGCGTTCGGATTGTATAGATATGGCGTTCCTTTCGGAAGAGGTTTCTTTTTTTCTTATGATTCTACTTTGGGATCGTGAGTTACAGGGTCACGATTTGGCTTGGTTGACCTGACTTTGTTTTCAGCTTCATTGTACAGTACACTATCTATCACCCCCCTAGCTGTAATTATAGAACCGACGACCACCACATCTGGCGAATATGATTAATGATTGATTGCACGCATTTGATCTAGGTGCCTTATAAATCAACCAGATTAGGTTCGCTTCTGGAACCGGATTCCGAGGGATGACGCGAGGTGTCGATGAATTCCTGAGGCATCGGCCTGACAAATCCATCCTCGTATCCGTACTCTGCCGGCAATGACGTCGTCGGTTTTCCCCTTGTCAGGAACCCTGGGCCCGATTTCGGCAGTGGTTCTCGGATGGCAAAGATCGGCGGGGAGGGAGGGAGAATACGCCATCCATTCCGGAGAGGGGGAGGGGGGGTAACCTACGCTAGAATTCCGACGGAGACAAGCACAGATGCTAAGATGGGACAAGCGTGAGTGCCATGAATGGATCCCCGAGCATTGACGTATTGCGCCCGGACCACCGGAGCCTTTGAAGGAAGTGATCGGCCACACATGTCATTGCTCATGAAGATCTTTCTCGCTTATGGACTTCTACTTTTACAAGAGAGTGCATCAGTGCTGTGTGAAGGGATCCGCGAGATAGCGGGAGGCGGGAGTTGCCTTGGGCCCTGCGTCACTTGAACACCTGCACGTTTCGAAGCTCCTTGATCCGAGCTCTCTTTAGGTATAGGTGGTCGCGACAGCGGGATACCGATCCTCCCCGTAGGTCGAGTTGAGGCTCACGTGGCCCGAGACTGACCCATCCTCCAGCCGGATCCAGGTCGCGATCTCCGTCTCCAGGGTCGTCTCGTCCAGCAGGATCTGTCGCGATCCCCGCGTCCAGGACCCGTACCCGCCGTAGCCCGTGTGGCGTCCGAAGCACAGGTTCAGTCCGTTGCCGGTGAGGTTCATCCCGGGGAGCTGGGAGTCCCATTTGAAGCACCTGCCGAGAGGGTCAGTTCTGGCTCTGTAAATATGATGCTGCAAGGGGAGGTGGAATGGTCAGAAGGGATGAACTGCTCACCAGTCATCACCATGGTCATGGCCGCTGAACGTCGCCAGCAGACCCTCGGTGTTCAACAACGCCTCCATGAACGGGATATCCTGGCCCGAGTAGCTGAACACCGTCCCGGATACCGCGCCCTGTCCGCTGGCCTCACCTTGCTGATCTAGGGGGTCGTCGGCGTTGATGCCCGGTTCCGAGTGGGCGTCCACGCCCTGGTTCTGGAAGGCGAGCATCGCATTCACTGGGATGTGGTAGAAGGCTATCGAGGGGATCACTTTACCGTATTGGTTGGTGAGGTCGGCGTTGGTCTGCGTGAACCATTCGACTACCTGCCCGCACTGGTGAGTTTATTGCATGGAGGGGGACAGTAGAGCGGAGCCCCACGAAATCTACTAACCGACTCATCCACCCAGCACGGCTGCGGTACTTCGCTGCCATTCTCCAGTTTCTGGAAGTAGTTCCCACCACGGCTGTCGAAGAACCACATGATCAACGCTGGCGTAGTCGCAGAGGAGTCGGAAGGGTAAACGGGCAGGTAGTAGTTGGATACCCCCGCGAGCTCCCCGGCAACCATGCTTTGGGTCAAGGTGTTGGGGTATGATTGCTCTCGCTCGAGGATGGCGCTGCGCGACAGTTTGTAGTCACTATCGTGATTCCCGTAGGTGGAAGCCCACAGCAACTGGTGCTCAACCAGGGGAGCAACGATCTCGTCGATGTAGTCGGTCGCATTCGACAGAAAGGTGTTTTCGCCAGTAATCAGATCGCCGTTGAGGATGACCAGGTCCGGGCTTTCATTATCGAGGATGGTATTGATCACCGCAGTACTTTCGACGTCTTGGATTGGTCCCCAGGTTGTGTCTTCCGCTGATTGTATCGTCAGTTATGATTGTGCAGAGGACGAAGAACAGCCAGCTTACCCTCGCCGTAATGCAAGTCCTCGAAGATCGACAGTTGGAACGTGCCATTGCTGTTGAACTGAAGGCGGGTTCCGGACTGGTCTGTCGACTTGATGTTTGGGAGTGCACAAATTCCAGACGTAAGGCTTAGAAGGGTTGGCACAATGTAGCGTACCATGGTGATGAAGCCTCGTGAGGTGGTTATCTTGTTGAAGTGACAACATTAGACTGTGCTTTGCTGGGGGCAGAGGAATATATAACTCGACCAACTGTAGCATCCTCGGCAAACTGCGGTGCACACGTGCGCATGAATCTATTCATTAGCCCCCACCCCGCTACTCCAGTTGCTGAAAGAGATGTAGCTAGCCACCCCCCTCCCAGTTGCTCTCCAACCCCCAGCATGGAGCACGTTGTGACATCCTAGTCAATAAGAGGTTTGACGGGACGGGCACTGGCGGGCGCTAATTGCCGCCGTTCCTGCACCGGGTCCCGTAAATGCCACTTTCATGCGGTAGTTTCGTTGCCGATTGGGCTCAACAGGAATGTTCGTCTATTAGCATAGAGTGCCCTTGAGGAACAGTACGGCTGGAGTGATGATGTAAGTGGTTGCCTCTGGAGGTGTAATAGACTTGAAATGCAGCTCTTCGAAGCAAGGATTCGAACCGCAATATACTGTAATTTGGACGCCTAAGGCAGCAATCCCATTGGCGTTGCGCAGATCATTCACACCTACTCCACATAGTCTCTATCCCCTTGGAGATTGCCCAGCCTAGCTCTTATTGACTTTAGTCGATGCTAACTGAACTCAACTGAACGTGGCCTCTATCATGGTTAAAAAGAGGCTCACCATGCATCATCTCGCAGCCTAGGGACCCCGACGCCTCCAAGCGGCGCCCATAACAAATATGCTCGCGACGGCGATTGCAGTGACCAATCTTTTTAGGCTTTTGCCTTCAAGCTCCCAGTAGCCAAAGGAGGCAAATGAGGCATGAGTGCCCTTATTTGATGTCTCCGATGCCAATTGTGCATGAACCTTGTCGGTCCTGTTTTCGTCGTCATGGGGCCTTTCCTCTTCCTCATACCTTACGTCGGTCGCTTCACCCAGTTCAGCATAATATTCCTGTAGTTGCACAATTTTTGACCGGACAAAGTCCTCGCGATCCTTGCGAAGGCCAATGTTCGTTGTGAAAGAGCGTACCCGGTCTGCGACTGACGACCTCTTACCCCAGCAGTGCTCATCTAGCAAGTCCCGGTACAATAGATCGACGGATGAGACTGACCGGCAAGCGAAGTAGAACCATGCGCTCTTGGTGTCGATAGACTGTCTCATTCTCACCGATAGTCGATCGTCTTCCACGCCCAGTCCTCTGGTTTTCTCTTTCAACTCCAAGGCCTGCAGAAAACAGTCGGCCCGGGGCAAGAAAGACCGATAGAACACTTCGGGGCCCTGACTGTTGAGGATCTTCTGCGGTCGCTCGAGAAGCAACCACCACGGAATACTGCCTGCGAACTGGGCAGGCGCAGCATAACAGAACTCCCAGTCGATGACGCCCGTCACGTGGAGGCAATCATCGACAAGCACATTCCCAGGGCACAGATCATCACCGAAAAGCTTGAATGGGCCGTCATTATCGGTGGGAGATAAAAAGCTCAGAGCCACCGCTTTCAATGAAATGCGACAGGCATATTTCTCCCGACAGTCAATCGCATCGTAGACACTGTTCCGCTGCCTCTCCAGGTGGGTGTCCTGCAGGCGCAAGAGAGAATGTATGTACTCCAGCGAGCTGTGATAGACTCTTGACGGGGCGCAATCTTCCAAGCCACATGTTCTAATCAACTCGTTCACTTCGAGAGTCAACGGTCGGCCTTCAGCTTTGGTCAAGGGTGGTGTCTTCTGTTCGCGAAGGCTGCCAATATGACTGAAATTCAGGCTCCACAACTCTAGCAGAATCTCTGCCATTTCTCCGTACAGGATCTTCAGTGTCTGCGGGTCAACATCTGGATCCAGTGCCTCCTCCTTTTCAGGTGTATTGCCACCTTTGCGAAGAAGGTCAGACATCTTTGTGCCTTCTACCCAGGTCATGATCATGAAGGGGCCGAGACCGGTAGGATTCTGCTCTGCTCCATCGTGAGCAATGACGCGCGGGACAGGAATGCGCGCCGTGTCAGCGATGAATTCCATCAGGACGGCCTCATTCTGGACCTTCTCATCCAAGAACATGGACTTTCCCGGCAGGGGAAATCTAATCAACCAATTTGGCTCCCCATCCTCCTAATGAAGCCGGAAGCTGAAGTTGAACGACCCACGGTGCATGGAGCGTAAACAATCGTCGCGACCGCGGTACTTGCTGGCAAGTTGGCAGATACCCTGGGAGAAGGTTGAGCACAGCGCTATCCATTCTTTCTTCAGTCTCTTGAACCTTGCAAGACTCATGTCGTCGAAATCCATCTTAGTCTCCAATTTCACTAAATGCTAGGTAATGTTCAGAAGGTCGGAGGAAGTTATCGAGGCCTCGGCCTTCCATTGGGCGGGAAGGCGTGATACGTCCGGACTTTGGAGCATTACCTCTTCCCCGGCCCACTCCGATCCGCCCCAAGGAATCAATTTCATCTACAGGGACGTCAGGGTGCATCGACAATGCGAGATTCACTTCATTATGTTAATCTAAGTCTAGTACATGAACACTCAACCCTCCACACCCCGAACCTGACCACAGGGCCCATTCGACATTTGAATCGTGGCTGCGGAGCTGTGAATGGAGGCCTTGGCGTAGGTCGACGCACTGTTGCAGGTGGTGGTATGGATCAGGTAACAGTAGCTGACCGAAGACGTAAGGTGGTTATAATACGACATGGCGCAGGTGCTGGACTCCTGACAGCTGA